AAAAAAAAAAAGCCTCATTGCTGTCAAGTTGGGTAAGTGATATAGATCAGCCACAGTCTCTCAAAGGAAGAAAAACAGACTGTAGATCGGTGCATTGTGGTTGTTAGCAGCTTTTGCATCAAACCTCTCTGCTTACCTGGAAGTCGTCATGGCGGGGGGGGCAGGGAGGGGGGTAGACATCTCAGAGAAGAGCAGTTCCAAAGAAGTAATGAGATTTGAAGATTGAGAAAACGTGACGAATAAAGAATGGAGAAATGAAAAAAGGACAATTTCTTAAGGCAAAAACCAAAGCCTCAAGGCTCTATGATTGGGGGAGTGAAGCTACCAGTTTAAATCCTGTGGAGGAACAGAGCTGATTGGAGATACCATGTGCTTGGCTTCACCTGTGTTACAGGTGACAGTGGGGCATTTGACCAGATCAGCGGCAGTTAAAGAGTGGGACTGAACCCGGAGTGAAGTCACAGCTACTGTATTTGAGCCACTCCTCGGAGGGAAGGTTGGGCAATGTACTTCTGTAGCAATACCGCCTCAGAAACCCAAGGAGGGTCGCTATGAGTTGGGTCTGATGCAATGGCAGTGAGTGAATGGAGATGACTATTGATATCTTAATAGTGATTAAAGTCTCTGAAGGAAGTGAGTTTGTAGAGAAATAGTCAAAAGATGAAGATTGAGCCCTGTTGCATCCAAGGAAATGCAAGGTTTGTGAAATGCAAGTGCATTTTTCACTGACCCTTGTCAGGCAGAAGTCATTTCCCTTTGGAAAGTATTTGGCTTTCTACAGTACATTTATCTGAAACTGGTTAGTCTGTCAGTCCTGCTTGACAATGTTGTCCTTTGCCTTTATCAGGAATGTTACAAGACAAACGAATGGAGATAGATAAACATAGCCTAAATATTGGTGATTACAATCGAGCGGTCGGGAAAGGCCCTGGTTCTCGGCCTCAGATTTCCAAAGAGTCTTCCATGGAGCGCAGTCCTTACTTTGATAAGGTGTGTTATGCTTTGTTTTGTTTTTACCCCTGTGGCTAATAACCAGTAGACTTAATAGCATAATTTTCACCTTACTATTTTAGAACATTTTATATAATATAAAGTGTTACTGGATTTGTAGTTCATTGTTCTTTTTATGTCTCAGTTTAACCTAGTAACTGCATTTGTATTTTCTTCTTTACCCCATAAAATATGTTTCGTTCTTTGTATGTACTCTAGAGTTAACACTAATCTGATCTCTTCTGTTTTCTGCCTGTTTCCTGTTGATGCTGGAATGTCATGTGACTTCTCTTCTGTTCCTGCAATGATTTCTCCCTTCCACTTGCTTGCTTGGCTGGTGTTGCACATCTTTCTGTCTGTCCAATCAGGATGGCATTGTAGCAGATGAATCCCAAAACATGCAGTTTATGTCCAGTCAAAGCATGAAGCTTCCCCCTTCAAATAGTGCACTACCTAACCAGGCCCTTGGCTCCATAGCAGGGCTGGGTATGCAAAACTTGAATTCTGTTAGACAGGTAAGTTCACATGAGTATTTTAGGCTCTGTATTGAATGCTTTGTATAAGTAATAAGATCTCTTAATGTGTACTTAACTGTGTTTAAATCAACAATACCATGTGCTAGTGAGATGTTTGTCCCTAAAGCATCTTACTGGTTTCTCTGTCGCTTGTTTCTGTAGAATGGCAATCCCAGTATGTTTGGTGTTGGAAACACAGCAGCACAACCCCGGGGCATGCAGCAGCCTCCAGCACAACCTCTTAGTTCATCTCAGCCTACTCTCCGTGCTCAAGTGCCTCCTCCATTACTCTCCCCTCAGGTACATAGCTTTCACTATGTCCTCTTCCCTCTATCTGGAAAAGAACCTTGAAACGAGATGACTGGGTGATCGATACTACCTGTTGGCAATTTTTTTGAGATGCAGCTAATTCTCGATTAGCTATTGGTACAAAAGGATGTAGGAATGGTGAGAAAAACAAGTCAAAGATCATTTAAATCTCCAATTTACCATTCTTCTCTTAAGCGTTTTGGGGAAAGGACAATAGCAGAGTAAAATTGGCAGGTGTAAGATGCATCTTCTGTCATCGTTTACTTAATCCATGGAAGTGTATGTGAATAATAAGTTAGGAGAACAAAGAGACAAGTAAGAAAGAATATAACTCTACAAACAACCCACAGATTGTGCTATTGATCGTTTAAAACACGTAGTACATTTAGTGAGTTTGGGTTACTTTGTCGTCATTGTTAACTTCCCATTGTGATCCTAAGGTTCCAGTTTCATTGCTGAAGTATGCACCGAGCAATGGTGGCCTGAACCCGCTCTTTGGCCCTCAACAGGTAGCCGTGCTGAACCAGCTATCCCAACTAAACCAGCTTTCTCAGATCTCCCAGCTACAGGTGAGGAGACGAATAGCCATATTCAGTGCACATTACCAAGTGTCTGCTGTGTGCTGACCATGAGACTCCGTGCCAGAGGCGTTCCAGAAGACAGAGCAGGCTCAGTCAGGGCCCTCGGAGGGCTGATGGTCTACCAGGGAAGACAGTCACTACGTGGGAGGAGTGTTTCAAAGAAGCATGTGATGCTGTGGGAAGAGACCCAGCCAAGTCTGGGGTGGTTAGGGGTGGGTAGGATGATCAGGAAAAGTTTCCCTGATGGTATGGGAGTTCAGGTCAAACAAAAAACTGAGTTGTAGCCGAGTGGCTAGAGGTCAAAAAACCCAAGGTTGAGGTTATACTAGATGAGGCAGCAGTAGTTTTGGTGGCATCAAGCCATGCCTTTGCAGGTTAGTCTACTTGAGATATTAAGGTGTGCTAATGACAACCTCCTCCCACTCTCTCCTCAGCGATTGTTAGCGCAGCAGCAGAGAGTGCAGAGTCAGAGAAGCGTGCCTTCTGGTAACCGGCAGCAGCAAGACCAGCAGGTAGATCCCTGGGCCCCCGCCGTGCTCATCTTCATTTTCATAAACTCAACTCACGTCAGTTCCATTGTAACAAAGGCCTTAATACATTAGAATATAATTGAATATGTCGTTTATTTAGTCTACTCTTTGCCCAGAAGTCGTGTGAACGATAGACTGTGATTATTTACCTTCCTGCCAAGAAGGAAGCAATTAATTCAAAAGTGAAGAGAAATACGTGTGACTCTGTAAAGACTTCTTCCCACTCCTTTTTCTGTTTTAAGGGTCGACCTCTTAGTATGCAGCAGCAAATGATGCAGCAGTCCCGTCAACTTGATCCAAACCTGCTGGTGAAGCAGCCAACTCCGCCATCTCAGCAGCAGTCGCTCCATCAGCCAGCCATGAAGTCGTTCCTTGAAAACGTCATGCCCCACACTACACCTGAGTTGCACAAAGGGCCATCACCGATAAATGCTTTCAGCAACTTCCCTATAGGTAGGTTTCTCCGTGGCCAGGGCGCGCCGCTGGTGCTTGGGTACCCCACCTCTGCGCCCTTCTCTCTTACTTTGTGGTTCTGTCCCCACGTGAAGCCGCACTGGCCGTCCCCTCCCTGAGAGTTGCCTCCTCTAGGTTCAGCCTGTTGTCGTGCATCAGGGAAGGTCATACTGTTGCAGAGTTCCACGCTCATTTCAAGTGGGTTAAAGCAGAGGAAACAGTGCTTTCTAAGACCCGTATATCTAAAGTATAGAGTACGAAGGGGAGAGGAATTCTTCAGTTATAATTAGAAACAGCCCACCAAAGAAATTGTGAGCAGCAGTGCTTTGAGGAAAAGGTCCCGTTTGTAGGATTGCCTTGATACGCAGCAGCTTCCGTTTCCTCCTTCTTCTGTGTAGCCAGGCTTTTATTCCGTTTCTCTTGTGGAAATGACAGCCTTGGATATTTTCTCCCTCTTTAAGTCCCTTTTCTTGTTGATTCTATTTTAACCCTTGATTGTTCACACCCTGCTCAATTTGCTCTGTCTTTCCCTCATCTTCCTTTTTCCTTACAGTGGTTCCTTGTAGGCATTTGTTGCTTGCTGGCTCAGCCACGTGGAAAACAGTGGATAGAGGTTGGGGCCTGCTCTTGCCCCTGCTGCCGCCTCACTCTGTGGCTGAGCTGAGACGTGGTTTGGCTCTGCCTGGTCTGGCCATGTACTCTCAGCTGAGACATAAGCTGCATTTGAGGCCTGGGGATTGTGAGCAATCTCTGTATACTTTACCTTTCCAAAGCAGTTCCTGTGTCAGTTATCACAGGAAGGCGGCGTGGTGACCAGGTGATCCCAGAGACAACAGGCTGATAGTAAAAGCACACCCAGGGACAGTGAGAGGTTTTGGTTTCACCAGGAAAGGGAAGTACCTATCACAAAGCTGACTCTACATACTCGACATACGAATTGAGCCAGTGGGAAGATAAGTTTCTAACTATGGGATTTCCTGTCCTGGCTTTCCAGCCACAGGTGTGTCTTCCTGATTAAGTCTGCTTAACGGACGCCGACACCAGCATGGTTGTCTAAACCAGGTTGTCTGGAGTTTTCTTGGGGATGTGGCCAAACCGTTTCAGGAGCATGTTGTCAGGGGCTGCTTTCACACTTCTGGGGCAGAGTTGCGTAGTTACAACGGTGACCTTGTGGCCCACAGAGTCTAATATATTTACTATCTAACCCTTTAGAGAAAACTTTTTGCAACCCTTATTGTAATTGATGCATCCAGAGAGCGACATATTTGACTGTTCTTTGCAAATATCTGGATAATACTGGCAAATTCGTATCATTGAAACTTTTAAGTTTGGAAGACTTAATATTGCACATAGTCCCATCAGAACCATGAACTTAACACCATTTGTTCTGAAGCATTAGGTGCATCAGGGCCAGTCAGTGTGCTTGCAACATACAGGTCCAGCTCCAGTTGGAAAGTCTCTGTTGTTTTTTTTTTTTCTACAAGCATCCCAGGTGATTCTGGCGTTTGATGGTCCCTGGATTACACTTTAAGAAACACTAGCTTAATGGTTAGCTTTCTGATTATAGTATCTAAGACAAATTTCTGTCCTTGTTCCAAGAGAATATCTCAGCCTGGTCGGCATCATCATATCATCAAAGTTAGAGTAAATTGTGCCCCAGGATACAGCAGTCTTTCCATTAGGGATAATTGCTGAAGCAGGACATTTGCACTTTTCAGTGATGATGTCCTTTGACTGGTTGGCCAGCTACAGAGGGTTCAGTTTGCATAGAACTCTTCTTCATGCATGGTGCCCTTGGGAATCAGCTAATCGGCTATATTTTATTAGAAATAAACTATGAACTTTGGCTTCCTTAAACATTTTGCCAAGGAATTTGAAAATGACCAAAATTATATGGAGAAATTGCTTCCCATAGTTAGGGTAATTATAGTATTAATAGTTTTATGATTTGAAAACATTGCACTATTGAGAGCCAGAGTAGCGATTTCAGATTTGTCTGTGTTTCTCTCTGGTGGCCAAGCCCCAGCTCTTTCTCCCCACACTGTCTTTGCGGGCCCTGGAGCCTCGCGCATCTGCTCTGACTGCGTTTCTTTTGTCTGTTGTCATTTGTCCCACTGGCAGGATGGTATTTATTAAGAAGCCTTTTAAGCAAGATTGAAAGTATTGGATTAGTTACATATGTGTCTCTAGAAAATAGAAGTTGTGGTACTGGAAGGAACATGAGCTACATTTTTATAATTTTCTGCAATTTGTATGTTTTTAAGGCTTGAACTCAAACTTGAATGTAAATATGGACATGAACAGTATTAAAGAGCCCCAGTCAAGACTAAGGAAGTGGACCACAGTGGACAGCATTCCCGTGAACACAGCTGTGGAGCAGAACTCCAGCAAACATGGTATAAAACACTGTTCATTTCATCTGTAAAAAAAAAAGAAAATTAAAAACCTGGAGAATCCTAAATTTCAGCTACTTTATTTTATTTTAAACATGTATTTTCAAAGCCTAACTCTATCAGAGCTTTCCTTCATTTTAAAAACTGCTTTCAGAGGGAAAGCAAAACACCTTTTATTTTTTTGCTGTTTTACAAGAGATAGGATTATCCATTTCTTTCGAAAGTCATCCGCTTGTGATGGATAGTCAGGTTTTTCCAGTTGATTAAGTTGCTCTAATGGTCTCTTTATTAATATTTACTCCATTTAATGTGTCCTATTCAGAGTAGGGTCTTAAGTTTTCTACTATAATTAGATTTCTATGAATTTCTTATATGGTGGTAGATTTTCTTTATATATCTTGTTCTTTTGTGTAACTCATTATCTTCCCAGCATTAATGAAGTTTTTTAGCAATACCATTTTCATCTTAGTATTACCCTTTCATCCAGCAGCTATTAGTGGGATATCCTGTGCTTTCCAAGGGCTATAGTCAAAACCAAACTCACTGCCATTGAGTCGATTCTGAATCATAGCAACCCTCTTTGGGTCCCTAAG